CCTGCCTGCCTGACAGCTGTAAGGCTCAGGTGTCCGTGGGATAAGCAGCAGGCCAGATGGAGGCTCCCCAGTCGAGCTCATGTGATGGGCAGGTGTGCTCTAGGGTAATGGTATGTGGCCAGATGTGCCACCTGAGAGGTTTTTGTTGGGTATTCTGATGCCTGACACAGCTGGAGGCTCCTAGTCCCAGAGCCTGTATCAGCTGCTAGGGGAGGGCAGAGCATGCCAACTGGCCGATGGAGTTGGCGGGGGAGCTGGCGGCCTTTGTTATTGTTGTCATTAATGTGACTTTTTCTCTTCCCCTCCCATTCTCATTTTTGGACCTAGGGAAGACTTGGGGTTCAGATTTATATCTGAACAGGTCAGTCACCACCCTCCTATTAGTGCATTTTATTCAGAAGGTCTCAACCAAGACTTCATGTTCCACGGTTCCATCTACCCAAAGCTGAAGTTTTGGGGCAAGAGTGTCGAGGCAGAGCCCCGGGGGACCATCACACTGGAGCTTCTCAAGTGAGTGACAAGAGCAAGCAAGAGCAGGTCCTGCTCTGGCTGGGAGGAAGTTACCTCTCCATGTTTCATAGGGCTTCTTTCTGGGGAGATCCCTACCTTTGTGGACTGACAGACAGCCTTTCTGCCAGCAGCATTTTTTCTGCTAGACTTCCGGGTGAGGAGAGTTCCCCTGTCCTCCAATGTGGATCTAAGTCTCACATTCCTCTCACACACTGACTACTCACTTTAACCATCAACTACTGCTGTATGACAACCCCAAACCCAACAACCCAGCATTGCTTAGCATAGCTTCTTACATCTAGGCTACACCTAGACTAACTGGCCCTGGGTCAGCAAGAACTCCATCGTCAGCCATAAACTCCCTCTCCAGTGGCTGTTCTTCCTTAGGCAGAGGACCCTGTAGGGAGAGCAGCTAAGACAGGAGCTACAAAAGCTCCTCAGCCACGTCCACACACCTCTGTTTGCTGATGGTCACACAGGCATGCGTGTTTGTACCTATGCAGTTGAATGCCTGGAGGTGAGGACCACTGGGGGGGTCCCTCTTAGAGGCTGTCCAGCCCAGCTCCCATCAGAGATACTCAGCCAGTAGCAAGTCTCCAGCATATGCTAGAGTTTGAAACCCACTGCAGCCCCCACAGCCCAGGGGTTCAGTTGCTGCAGTGGTCATCTATTAGGAACCTGCTATAAGGGAGCATCAGTGTAATATTTGCTGGATACTGCTATCTGCCAGTTTTAAGAACCTAGAGGTGGCTGGATGGTAGTGGTGCACACCTTTAATCTCAGCACTCGGGAGGCAGAGGCAGGCAGATTTCTCTGAGTTTGAGGCCAGCCTGGTCTACAGAGTGAGTTCCAGGACAGGCACCAAAGCTACACAGAGAAACCCTGTCTTGGAAAAAAAAAAAAAAAAAAGAGGGCCGGGGCAAACTGGGTCTAGTTGAGCACACCTTCAATTCAGCACATGGGAGGCCAAGGCAGGTGGGTCTCTCTGAATTTAAGGCCAAGTCTGGTCTACATAGTGAGCTCTAAGACAATCAGGGCTGCAAAGTGAGACCCTATCTTAAAAGTTCAACAACCAACAAAACTCTGTCTCTGTACATCTATCTCTCAGGAACACAAAGGCAGGCTCATGAGGGAGCTACCTGTGGTGAACGCCCAGCTGCTGGGCCTGTCTCATGGTAGTCTGCTTGAGAGTTGAGGTGGGCAGAACTGATGAACTGCAAATGCTTTTTAAAAACGTGTTTGGGTTCTACCTGGGCCATTTGAGAGAGTCCAGATATATGTCCTCTACCACCCTGTGTCAAGATGCTTTTGTACTAGTCATGACTTCTTGATGGAGCCTCCCATAGGCACCACTGTGTTTCATGCTGCGAGGTTTGCCCTTGAGGTCATTTCAGAGGAGGGGGAGTTGGGTGTTAACCGCAGAAACCCTCTCCTGCATGCGGGCTGGGGCTAGGAGCGCAGTTCTTACAAGCCTTTCCTCTTGGCAGCTGCACAGGAAAGCTGTCTCTTTTGTTTTAGTGTTCTTTTATTGCTTATTAACTTGTCTTGACATTTAAGTAGAAAGCTTTGTTGATGCTACAAAGGAAAGGAGAAATAAATTCCAGTTGCATGCTAACTAAATAGCCAGCACTGGGAAGACTTCAAAGCATTGTTTTGCTCCCAGACAGTTGTGGTCTGGTTTTGCCTGGTCATGGCCTTCTGGGTCACCCAAGTCCTGGACTTCACTGCCCTGTCTTGTTCTTGGTGCTTTCACAGACATAATGAAGCCTACACGTGGACCAACCCCACCTGCTGTGTGCACAATGTCATCCTTGGGCAGCTATGGATTGAACAGTATGGGGTAGTGGAGATCCTAAATCACAGGTGAGAAGCCATGATGAACTTCCCAACCTAAAGGGAGCTGTCTCTGTCTGCACTCTTCTCTCGGGACATCTAGCCCTTTATTGCTGTCCCTCAACTTCCCTCCTGTAGTGGGACCCCAAGTCATGGTGTCTGGCTAGATTTAGTTCTGTCCAGCATTGAAATAATCAAGAATGCCCTGTGTTGATTGGTTGATTTTTTTTTTATTACCATTGTTAATTTGTTTGAAACTGTAAAGTGCACCTAAGTATTGTCAGTGCTAGGTGAAAATGTAGTAACTGTGCCCAAACATTATCAAGGGCCTAGACTTACAGCTGGAAGCTCTGACTCATTGGCTTGGCCTGCTAACACCTTAGTGAGAGATAATTTATAAATCATAGAATTCACCTATGTCCTAAACGGACACTGAAGTGATATTTTAGTAAATTACCCTAGTTGTGCAGACAGTCACCCCAGGTCAGTCACAGAGCCTTTCAAGGAGCAAATTAACCATCACTGATGGCCTCCTTTCCTAGGTGGCCAAGTCCTTTTTCTCTTCCCCTGTAGCTCGGTTGGTTCTCTAGGTATTTTACATAAACTATGTTTGTTCCCACAGAACTGGAGATAAGTGTATCCTTCACTTCAAGCCATGTGGACTATTTGGAAAGGAACTTCACAGAGTAGAAGGGTACATTCAAGACAAAAAGTAGGTCCACTCATTGATGTCCAGTGGGTGTGGGTCTGCAGCAGCCAGTGCTGCACCGTGTGGTTGTGCGATGATGTCTTCTCATGGTGGAAGCAACATTACCTTTTTTTTCTTTTCTTTTTTTTAAAGGGTAAGTTTTGAGTGTAGTCTCTGGTGATAGCAGAGTGAAGCTTGTCCCCTTTGGAGAGAGAAGCTAGGTCAGCCTAATAGAATAGACATTTTTGCCAGGTGGTATTGACTCATGCCTTTAATCCCAGCAATCAGGAGGCAGTGACAAGTAGATTTCTGAGTTCAAGGCCAACCTGGTCTACAGAGTGAGTTCCACGATGGCCAGGACTACATAAAGAAACCCTGTCTTGAAAAAAAAAGAAAAAGAAATACATTTTTACTCAGGGATAATGTGGCTTTTTTCCCCACTTGTTTTGGTTTTTTGAGGCGGTCTTCCTGCACAGCTAAGGCTAGTACCGGTTTTAGAATCCTGCATCCACCTCCCAAATGCTGGATTACAGCCTGTATCACCTGGCTACAGTTTTACAAACAGAACTGAGATTTTTAACACTTGACCCTGTGGGAAGCCGCTCTTTATTTCTCAGCAGAGCATATGGGTGTCCACTGCTCATGGCCTGCATTTTCCACTCTGCAAATCCGGGCCTTGTGGAGAGTTGTTTTGTTTTGTTTTTTGTTTTTCGAGACAGGGTTTCTCTGTAGCTTTGGAGCCTGTCCTGGAACTCGCTCTGTAGACCAGGCTGGCCTCGAACTCACAGAGATCAGTCTGTCTCTGCCTCCCGAGTGCTGGGATTAAAGGCTTGCGCCACCACCACCCAGCCTCCTGATGGAGATTTTTGTGTAGAAAAATGACCAGTAGGGTTTTGACACATTTTTCCAGATTTTTCTCTCTTTGGTAAAATTATGTTCTGGGTCTCAAAATTTTATTTATCACCAACCCTCCTTCAGTAATAAAATTCCAAGAGAGTCAGTTCTTTTGTTCTCTCTGCCTGTCTCTAGAGAACCAGGAACTCATCTGTTCAAACCTGTATATTAATGTCAGACTTTAGATTAATGAGACAAATAAGGACCTCACGTGTGCTATAAAGGACATAGGCCTTGTTGTGATCATAATGGTGACCAAGGCATCTTTTGAGACTGGCCTGCCCAAGGTCTGAAACAGGCGGATGATTTCAAGCCAATGGGAGAGTCGTTATTTGACCTATTGGTTTTGCTCCTGGACCCAAGCATGCTTTTCCTTTCCTTTCCTTTCCTGTTCTTGTTCTTGTTTGTGTGGTGTATGTGCATGTACATGTTTGTGCATATGTGTTGTGTATATGAACATACATATGGAAGCCAGAGGTCAATATTGGGTATCTTCCTCTGTTATTCTGTCTTTTATTTTTAAGACTGGGTCTCAGTGAACCTGGAGATCACTGATTTGGCTTGACTACCCAGTGAGCTGGCTCTGTATCTGCCCCAGTACAGGAGTAATGCCCAACTTCATATGGGTGGGTTCTAGGGATCTGAATGTGGGTCCTCGTGCTTATGCAACCAGTTCTCACTGGACCTCCCCAGCAGCCTGCACACACAGGTGTCCTCCTGCCGGGCAGCACTTCCCAAGGAGCATGTGACCACCATGTGCTCTGCCCAGGCAGGAAAAAGGAGAAAGAAACCCTATCCTGAAGGGGCTCTGATCTTGTTGATGTGGGGCAGCACCTCTGGCTGCACTGTGCAGCTTTCCGGGGCTGTGGTTAGACGAAGGCAGGGACAGCCACAGAGAAAGCAAATGCCATCAAATGACTATGGGAGGCATTATGGGTAGATTTGATAGAAAAAGATTTGATGAACTCACAGTTCATCAAAACGCAGTGGTAGAGCACTTACCCCAGCGAAGCGTGGGCACATACAACTCTCCGTTTAGGAAAATAGGTTTGTGCTTTTTTTTTTCCCCTCCTTGTTTTCTAAGGCCCTGGGGACTGTTTAGGCTTTTGTGCCTTCATTTCCTCTTTGGCATCAGGGATAGGGAGATTTTGTCTCTAACAGCATGAACCAGGTTCTGAAATACAAAGTTTCTTCTTTGTATCCCAGAATGTCCAGGACTTGGCAGAAGGAGAGCAACAGGTAGGCATTAAGTTCCTGCTTTGTAGATGACTGTTAACTGTTTCGCCCTCTTCCACTGCAGCAGGAAGAAGCTCTTCATCATTTACGGCAAGTGGACAGAATGCTTGTGGGGCATCGATCCTGTTTCATATGAGTCCTATAAGAAGCATGAAAGGAGAAGTGAACACCCCAGGAAGGCCAAGATGGTGAGTGCCTGCTCCAGCTTACCCTGGTCAGGCTGGGGCCTGAGGTGGGTAAGCCCTCCAGAAGTCTGGGTCCAGGTATGGGGGCAGAGGTGGGATTGACTTTATTTCAGTTATGTTGTAGCTGTTTTTATAAGTGGGAAGCTTCCAAGGGAATGCAAACCCTTTCACATAGTCCTTTGTAGTAAACCTCTCTTGTTTTGCCTGAGTTAACTGAGACCTATTTAAGAACTCAAGTGCATTTCATTTTTGTTTTTTCAGTTCTGAGTTCTCAGTAATATATTCAACAGTCAGGAAGTACTTGCAAAGACTTATCCTCTAAGAATTCTGGAATGCTGGTGACTATGAGTTATTCTTAAGCAAAATTAAAATTAAAAGTCACAGTTCAAGCCAGGTATTGTGGCATGCATCTCTAATCCCAGCACTCGGGAGGCAGAGGCAGGCAGGTATCTTGTTGAGTTTGAGGCCAGCCTGGTCCGCAGAGTGAGTTCCAGGACAGACAGGGTACACACAAAGAAACCCTCATTTGGGTTGTAGGGGAGGGAAAAGTTCACCTGACGTGGTAGGTGGCAAACATAGGAGGATTCCTGTGAGTCGCAGGGCATGCTGATCTACACGGCGAGCTCCAGGCTGTTCGGGCAGGGACTACTGAGATTGTGTCTAAAAGAAAGAAACGGGAAGAAAAAAATTCCACTTAGAGTGCTGAGTCTGCTGAGTGGTGTTGGTGTCATTTTTGCCAATTTTACTGCTCCCTTGGATCATCTAGCAGTGGGTGCTCACCCTCAGCTGTCTGAGGACCCCAAACTTCCATCCTGTGTCCCTGGTGTTCTCAACAGCTGTGACCCATAGCTGACTGTGTCTGTTAACATGGGATGGACTGAGGGCTTGCCCAGGAGAATTGCTTTCGGTTGGGCAGCAGATGGCATCATGAGGCCCTCGTCTCAGATGATGTGTTGTGTGTCCAGAAGGAAGGCAAGAACATGGCCAAGCATGTCTCTGGGAAGGCAGTGTGTATATCTGCTTCTGTTTCAGCCTGTTTCCCTTCTCTGTGAGAGAGTAGAAATCCAGCCTGGCACAGCTCTGCAGAAAGCAAAAGCTTGTGGAGGCAGGAGCCTGAGACCTGATGACATTACCAACAGGAGAGAGTTTAATTATTTCTCCTCAGTGAGATAAAGCTTTGGCTTTGCACAGGGGCCTGGGAACAAGTCTTCCTGTGCTCTGAGGACAGGTCTCCTGGCTGGTGTCACAGTGAGGTGTTCTGTGTTTCAGGATGATGGCCCTGAGAAAGCTAACAGTGATATGCCTGGTGATATGACGGACAATGTTCCTGTGACTCAGGAGACCGTGCAAGTCATCCCTGGCAGTAAGCTACTCTGGAGGATCAACAGCCGGCCCCCCAACTCAGCTCAGGTCTGTGTCTTACACCTTAGCACTCCTCTCTGAGACCAGGTCTGTCGGCTGCAGATCAGTCAGTCCTGTTGATATTATCCCACAACTTTTCTACCTTATTCTTGGATGTAGCCAATCAGCTGTTTCTTAACAAAGAGGGAGGCTCCATCACATCCCCACAGTCCTGAGGACCCTTTTTCCCTGGAGCTGCATGTGACTCTGATGTCATGGTCCAGCCTGAGAGTGACTTCTTCCTGCCGTAGTGCCCATGTAGGACTTGGGAAAAGTGTATGGAAATCTACCTGGCATCAATATCTTGATTCAGAGCTCATTGTTGAGTCTGTATACCTGCGGCATTGGTGTTCCCCATTCTCTATACCGTCAGCTCTTCCTGACCACATTTCAATTGATTGGAGAGATGGCTTAGCCATTGAGCATGATTGCTGCTTTTCCAGGAGACCTGAGTTCAGTTCTCAGCACCCATATCAAGCAGTTCACAACTACCTGTAACTCCAGCTCTGGGGGTGGGGGGTCTCTGGGTACACTTGCACACACCCTTACGTAGATGTACACATACATACATGTAAGTAAAAAATAAAAAAACAGCCTGATGTGGCAGTGCATACCTTTTAATCCTAGCACTGGGAAGGCAGAGGCAGGTGGATCCTCTAGTAGTCTGAGGCCAGCCTGGTCTACAGAGTGAATGAGTTCCAGGACAGCCAGGGCTACATAGTGACACCTATCTCAAAACCAAAATAGGCTGGGCGGTGGTGCATGCCTTTAATCCCAGCACTTGGGAGGCAGAGGCAGGTGGATCTCTGTGAATTTGAGGCCAGTCTGGTCTACAAGAGCTAGTTCCAGGACAGAAAAACCTTGTCTTGAAAAACAAAACAAAAGGGGCTGGAGAGATGGCTCAGTGGTTAAGAGCACTGACTGCTCTTCCATTGGACCTGGGTTCGATTCCCAGCACCCACATGGCAGCTCACAACTGTCTGAAGATTCAGTTGCAGGGGATCTGACACCTTCACACCAATGTACATAAAATAAAAAAGTTAAATAAACCATAAAAAATATTTTAAAAAACAAAACAAAACAAAAAAGGGGGGAGCTCCAGGGTTCGTGATGTAGCTTAGTAATGGAGTGCCTGGCATATACAAATGAGGCCCTAAATTGTAGTAAGCTTTCTCGTCAGACTTTATGTGGACTGCCAGCCTGCAAATGACACAGAGACTTGTTATGATGAAAGCTTGGCCTTAGCTTAGACTTGTTCCAAACCAGCTTTTGTAACTTAGATTAAGCCATTTCTATTAATGTATGTTCTGCCACGTGGCTTTTACCTCTCTCCCACTCTGTCCATCCTACTTGCTCTACATCTCGCTGGTGCCTCTCTCATGCACCTAGATTCGTCCCAGGTTCTTCTCTCTCCCAGAAGTCCTGCATAACTTCTTCCTGCCTAGATACTGGCTATTCAGCTCTTTATTTTCATGGCCTGGACCTGGCTCTCTGAGTGCCTGCAGCCTCCTCTGACCCCATGATTCAAATCTTGTTTTGTTTTGCTTTTTTTCAATTTATTTATTTTATGTGCATTGGTGTTTTGCCTGCATGTATGTCTGTGTGAGGGTGTCAGATCTTGGAGTTACAGACAGTTGTTAGAACCAAATCTTAACCTGCATGCCAGCCACCCTGTGGATCTGCTAAGTACATGGTGTTGGCGGCTGGCTCTGCCCACCCTCAGGTTGATGAGAGCCCAGCCTCATGCCCGCGAGCCCCAGCCTGGACCCACATTTACCTGCCCCAGTTCTGGGAAGTTTTTGAGTCTGCACAGCAGGTGTTTCTATTAGTCTTCTGCCAGTCAGGTCTCCAGGTGCTCTGTGCTTGGATGTGCATGCTCGACGCCAAATGTAGTCAGGTCTC